TAACCAGGATCCTGTTTCTTTGTTTTCTCTCCAAGATTGTCTCGGACATGCTCATGTACTTTTGGCAGCCTTTGAAAGAGTACGTGTACATCTAAATAAAAGTAGCCTAAATAATCTGAAGAAAAGTTGTTTTTTTTAAATGAGTTTAATCATTTTCTTTTATTTCTTTACCTCCAGCACGTTGATGGCAGTTTCTCTGTCAAGCCTCTGAAGCAGAAACAAATTGTAAGTTTAAAAATTCTCTTATTTCCATATTTATTTTTTTATTACTGTGTTGTTCATCTCATGAATCACGGACATCGTCACTTTGCTATAATCGGTTGGTTGATTATAATCGCCTAGATCCAAGCGACGACATTGTAATGCACATGTTGTACTGTTTGTGCTAAATCATCTTGCTAATGCAGTGCATCAGTGACCCTCGTACAAGTCTGCAGCTTTTGAAAAACCTATGAGACTCAAAAGTCTGTGCTGTGACCCTTAGGAGTTAATGTAGACCTCTAAAGTAATGTTGAATGTAACCTTAGGTTACAATGAGCTATGAGTAAATTCACGCAGGATCTCTCATTTTTGTGTTTTAAGAAAATTTTATCAAGTACATGTTGTGAGAGAGAGAGAGCTTCAATGTTTAGACCATAAATAAAACGCAGCCATGAAATGCACAGTTACTTCTGAAGGTATTCGCCCCTTCACATTTTGTACACTTGTTGTAGACTTAATTTTAAATTGATGTTTGTTTTTACAAGGACTTCTCTGTTCCAAATTGTTACATTTAGTTTCAACAAAAATTGAAATGATTGGTCATAATTTAGAGACACACCTTTGTATACAGGGTCACCTGAAGTCATGAGGTCCAAGGAACTCTCTGTAGACCTGTGTGAGAGGCTCTGGCTCTGACCACGGGTGTGAACATGGCATTCTAAACATGCCACCTCAAATTTCTCCATCTTTTTAGGTGGACCGCGTGAGCTACCTCTTACAGGAAATCTATGGGATTGAGAACAAAAACAACCAAGAAACAAAGGTATTGGTGGATGTGTTACCTTGTACATGAATCGCAGTGCTGTAAAGTTTCAGTCACATTTTACTTAAGCGACCTATGATTTAAGTCGTCTTCTTTTTTCCAGCCATCTGATGATGAGAACAGTGACAACAGCAACGAATGTGTCGTCTGTCTGTCTGACTTGCGAGACACACTCATCCTGCCCTGCAGACATTTGTGTCTCTGCAACTCCTGCGCAGACACTCTTCGTTACCAGGCCAACAACTGTCCGATCTGCAGGCTGCGTAAGACACGTTAGCACTATTCTAATAAAGCTTTGCTTTTTAAACTGCTTTAGTGATGCTATTTAAAAAGCAATTAAACTGTCGTCGTACGTCATTTGACTTGTTGTTCCTCTGCCCAGCTTTTCGAGCCCTACTGCAGATCAGAGCTGTGAGGAAAAAACCTGGAGCTCTTTCTCCTGTGTCCTTCAGCCCTGTTCTGGCTCAGACTATGGACCATGACGAGCACTCAGTAAGTCTCATGCACATTTAAGTATACTCAGGCAGAGTTGGCCAAGATGTGCAGCAGCATCAAGAGGAAACAGACTGAACTGGGGCTGCATAACATTTATCTCTATTGTGATATGAAGTTATGCATTTAAGACATTACTGAGATTCACACATGACACCTTTGACATGTTAAATGCAAAAAGGAGGAATCTGAAACCGTTATTCCAACTTTAACTGATTGATGATATTGTGGAATCTCTTTGCAGAGCTCGGACTCAGTTCCTCCAGGCTTTGAACCCATCTCACTATTGGAGGCTCTAAATGGCCTGCGGTCTGTATCTCCCGCTATCCCATCTGCCCCTCTGTATGATGAAATCAACTTCTCAGGGGGTCTGGGAGGTGACAGACAGCTCAGCTCTCCAGAGCATTTAAGCGATGGGAGTCTGCAGAAAGGCAAAGTCAGCAAGTCACCTGACAGGTAATCTCACAATGAGGATGTTTGCATGAACAAAAACTATTTTAATAAACAAATTTTAAAAAGCAAGTTCTATTAATCTACAGCTCCAACATCTGGAGGCCACTATTATTTCCTTTTAAAGAAACAAGTGTATGCATTACTTGTTGTACTCGTACCCATTAATGTTTTGCCTTGTCCCACACTCCAGCACCCTCAGGTCTCCATCCTCTCCCATCCAGGAGGAAGATGAGGAGAAGCTGTCTGAGATGTCTGATGCTCAGCCACACACGTTGATGTCCAGCAGCCCTGCCCCCACAGATGTAAGACAAAACTTTGCCACCTGAAATTAAAAAACTCAGACAAAAGCTTTGACAAGATCTTTTTCCCCTCTTCTTCCAGGCCACAGCAACGGAAGATGTGGCAGAGTCTCTGTCTCCAGATGACGGTGAGTTTTTTTCAATTTGGCACTTGGTAGAAAATAGTGAGTCAATACTGTAAGAGACACTGATGCTGTTGCTGTCCTGGGTGATCCAGAGGACAGGATGCATTCTGGAGCAGACATGCTGCAGGACTGTAGCAGTGAGCACAGCAGCTTGACTAAAACAGAGAGCGACCCACCAGGTGACCTGTCTCTGCCAGGTGAGAACAGAAAAGAGGTGGAATATGTAATCTCTATGTATTAAACTATACACAGTATAGGCCTGAATCTCCTTGCATCAGCCGATGAAGCACCAACTGCAGCTCCTAAATATTTCTGGTTTTTGTGTCTTTATCAACTCTTCTAGTTTATAAATCTCTGTTCTGGTGCTCTAGCTGAATGCCTCTCTTCTTTATTCCAAGACTTTGAAGCTGTAATTCCCTGTGCTTTGCATCTTAATCTGCATGCTCTTGTGCTTCTCTTTCCTAACACTCTCCTGTTCCTTGTCCTCTTGTTTCCTCATACTGCCACACTTTGGCTCCTGCTTCCCAGCTCTAGGTCCTGATTCCTGCTCTATTGGTATGGAGGAATAACTGGTATGTAGGCCTTCCTGTCTGCTCCGCCTCTCTGTGTATGAGCTCTACTGCTTCAACTGCATCCTGTTCTCCATGAAAACATTCACTACCACAACTAGGAAAAAGATCCAGCGGGAATTATTTAGTGATTATGTTGAGATGAACCCATTTTTAATTCACACGAGGCTGTATCTTAACAGTAAACAGTTTTTAATTCACGTCTCTATTCTTATTGACTGGACTTTTCACTTTGAGACATGATTTTCTGTTCTTGCCTCCTCAGGATCATCAGAGTCAACAGAAAGCCTGAAAAGTCAGAGCACAAACTGCTCTAGCCATCCTCTCCTGTGTCCCACAAGCAGCCTTCACATGGAAGATGAGCACTTCAACACCTGACTCAGATCCAGCCTTTTCGCTCCCATCCATCAGATCCAATCTATCCTTTACAAAGATCATCCTGTCCCCTCTATTCCTTTTACACCCCTCAGCCCAGTCCTCTGCTTCTTTGCTCAGAACCAACAGTGGCCCTGGACTGAAGTTCACCAAGACAAGGGAGGACTCTATTTCTTGGTACCTTATTCTATGACTGATGTTTTAAAAAAAAAAAAAAAAAAAAAATTTGTTTTAAAAATTTTTTTTTAATTTTTGGGTTTTCGGGTGGGGG